ATATATATACACATGTGTATATATATATACACATGTGTATATATATATACATGTGTATATATGTATACACATGTATATATATACATATATACATGTGTATATATATACATAGCAATCCTAAAGCAGAGGAAATCAATCAAGACAGTTAACATTAACAGCAGCAAAACAAATGTCAGCAAACGTGTTCATTAACTCTCAGTAACACATGTGCATATACTTTATATTTTTTAAATAAGTTGATGAAAAGAGAAACATTTATCAATAATGTTCACACAGGGATGCAAACTTAGAAGATTGACACATTTTACACAGCAGAACATACACATATTCACATAGAAATCATTTACATGGACGTCTTATGTCAATTTAAATAAATAAAAAGGTGACATCACAACTGTCCTCTCTGTGACAGCAACATGAACACATGAGAAGGATCTACTGGTTGTGTTGTTAGTGAAGGCTTTGTACAGGATGAGAGCTCATGTAACTGTAACCTTCAGTACAGGATGGTCACATGGAGATATTACAAATGGACTAATGTCTTAATTCAAAGCTACGGCTGCTGAATGTTTGTCCATCGCTCTCCCCTCAGCTCCTGCTCTCTGTAACAAAACAAGAACACAATCAGCAAAATACTCAAATTCAGTGTATTCGTGTAGTTCATCTCAACGTTTGAAACGTTACCGGACTTAAAGTGATATTTCAGGTTCACAACCTGTCTGCCTGAGCTCACGTTGGTCCGTTTATGTACATGATATGAAGTAGAAATCATCTGTAAAATCATCACAAACTCAGTGAGATATTATTCAACCTCTGAGGTTTGAAAGTGAAGTTATTAAAAGTTACTTTACAAGGTTTACTACGGTCGGATGCAGGCAGCCGAGCTGCCGGTAATAGCGCACCGGTACGCAATGCATCTTGGGATATGGTGGGCTGTGAAGGATACATCAGATGTGTCCTCCAACTCTGGGACCAGAAGGCTGCATTCTGCATTGAAGGACTCTTCAACAGAAATGTGAAATGGGACAGCACTAGTCGCAGCACTGTGACGCAACCGGTCTACGAATGCAGCCTCCGAAGGATGCAGACCCTGAATTGGACTCAGTAGTTAGTTACAGGATGTAGAATCTGTTCATCAGGAAGCTTCAAAATAAAGTGTTACCAGAGGAAAGTTTGATCAGACCCATGATGTCTTGTGTGGTGTTCAGGGTACTACACTGATCGTGGGGAATCAGGGAACTAAACTGATGAGTAGTGTATAACCTCCAGCTCTGTGTGATAAAACCTTTTGGACATAAAATAGAGTTTTATGAAGTTTTATTTAAATAAACACGGAACATAATGAAATGTGTTTATCTTCATTAGAGCAACCGTCTGATGCAGAATCACAGCGTCGGAGACGTTTAGAGAACAATTCAACTCGCATTTATTCTGTGACGTGTCACATTACATCATCAGTGTCAACGTTATGAAACACAAAGAGTTCAGAGAGAAGAAGAGCAGGAAGTTCAAACAGATACAAAATAAAATCACTCTTAGCTTTAACGTCGTTTCCTTCTCAGCTTCTTTCATTTCAACGTTTCATGAAGAAACGAAGTCTTTCACCAGAAACACATTAAAGGATTACAAAGAAAAACTTATTTTTTTGTCTAATTTCTTACGGGTTCTCAGGGTTAGGACCTCCAGAGACCAGCAGGCCTCAGACCCGGGTCTTTGGGTTTCAGTCCTCAGACCTAGGTCTTTGGGTCTGAGGACTGAGACCCGTGTCTTTGGGTCTTAGGGAGGAAGGTTCTGGTCCTCACATGGTGAAAGACGAACCGTTCTCACTGGATCCGTCCACCGAGCGGCGGGTGGACACGTAGATCTCGGAGGTGACTCTGGAGAAGCGTCGCGGGGCGATGTACTTCTTCCCCAGACAACACAGGTCCAGGACGATCCTCCTGAAGTGGTTCCTGAACTTCACCCCCACGAAGGCGTACAGCACCGGGTTCAGGCAGCAGTGCAGGTAGGCGATGGTCTGCGTCACAGTCTTGGCCGCCTGCAGGACGTCCGACTCCTCGCAGGTCCGCAGCTGGAACATGTCGGCGGTCTCGTAGAGCAGCGTGAGGTTGTAGGGCAGGTGGCAGACCACGAACACCACCACCACGGCCAGAACCACCCGCACCGCCTTGTGCCGTTGGAAGTTCTTGGCCCTCAGCAGGGTGGCGACGACGGCGCTGTAGCAGACGACCATGACGAGCAGCGGCAGGAAGAAGCCCACAGCCAGCTGGGTGCTGGGGACCGCCACCTTGGTCCTCCAGGCCGTGGCATTGTCCGCAAACTGGAACTCGCAGACGTAATGCGGAGGTCCGGAGGTCCGGTTGGTCTCCTCCTCCTCGTACATGAAGGCCTCCCTGCTGTGGGACGGCTCGTACCAGTTGTAGAAGCAGAAGGTGGGGACGGACAGCAGCAGCGCCGCGGACCACACGGCGGTGCAGATGAGGCGGCTGTAGGGCAGCGAGCGGCGCCCGAAGCTGCGGCGGGCCTGGACGATGGCCACGTAGCGGTCGGCGCTGATGCAGGCGAGCAGCAGCATGCCACCGTACAGGTTCACGCTGTAGGAGCCGCGCAGCAGCTTGCAGGCCACCGGCCCCATCGACCACGACGACAGCTCGTTGTACACGATGAGAGGCAGCGACGCCACGAACAGCAGGTCGGCCACGGCCACGTTCAGCAGGTACACGTCCGTCATGGACTTGGTCCTCTTGTAGAAGGCGTAGGTCACGATCACCAGGCCGTTGCCCACCAGGCCCAGGATGCAGATGATGGAGTGGACGTACGGGCCGACCACCAGCTCCACGCTCGTGTTCTTCTTGTGGGAACAAGGTCCGATCAGATCGTAGTCGTCATATGATTGGTTGAACATCTTGTCCTCCGAGTAGTTCATCTTCTCTCTCCTGTGAAGAACAGAGAGAGAACGTCACCTATTGTTCTACAGTTTAATCATCATAGTGTGAAACGTTCAGCTCATACGTCTCTCAGAGCGTCAGCGAGCAGATATGAAGCAGTCGCGTGTTCACGTGACCGGAGCGCGTTAAAGCATGTACCGGTGAACGTCATGGCGAGCGGAGGAGCTGCAGAAGCTCCCGGCGTCATTTAAGTCACAAGTTTGTCTTCCCTGTATCTTATGATGACGGATGAGGTGGTGGACTAGACCGTGACAGTATATAGGCGTTGTTTAAAGAGAAAGACACGACAACAGCAACACATGGGACATGTCCACACATATGAAGAGACACCATCCGGTCTGTCAGTGCCGGGGCCAAAGGCACAACACCACCACCAAGGTATCACCGCCGCATTAAGAAAGCGTTACTGCAGAATCAGACGGGCTGAAGCTCTCACAGCATCTATTGGGTTTATTGCTGCAGACACGAGGACATGCTCTGTTGTGGAAAACAAAGGAATTCAAAATCTGGTTAAAGTGTGCTACAGGTTCCCCTCACTCAGTAACAAGATCGTTCCTCTATGAAGAGGAAAGAAGGAGTGTCCGGTGTTCAAAGTCCGGTACTGCAGACACGCTCCCTCTGGTGGGGTCCAAGAGGCTGTTCTGGTGGAGATAGGAAGACACCAGGGCCCCGTTCCTCGTACGTGGCTAACTGAGTTAGCCGGATACTTGTCAGGATACGATGACGTAGATCAGGCTTTTCGGTTCCACGAAGCAAGTTTGGCAAAATCACCATGGCAACACATCCATAAGCTTGAAGCTGCTCCAGCGCAGGCTAACTGAAGGTAGCTGGATAAGCTGCCACTCCCCCGGAAACAATGGCAGCTCCCTCCCACTGTTCTCAATGGGAGGGAGCCACTGTTCTCAATGGGAGGGAGCCATTGAGAACAGTGGCTCCCTCCCATTGAGAGCCACTGATGAAGGAGGATATTAGTTAGATTAGTAATGTGTGTGTGTTAGTGTTTACTTGCTCCCATGTCCTCTTGAT